ATGCCCCTCAAGCCGAGATGTCATAATGACCTCTGTATCAGACCTCCTTAGACAGCACAGATAGCACATAAAGTGGATGCACAGGAAGTAGCAAGTACAACCAGCACTCAGCCGAGTTCAGAAGCGTAAAAGCACAAGTGTGGGAACATGCCTGCAAAAGAGAGTTCTAGATGGACTTTGCTTACATTTCAGAAAGAAAAAAAAGGGGGGGAAAGGAAAGCCAACTTATTAAGTAATAAGGTACAAACATGAGGAGGTTTTTCAAAGGAAAATCAGAGCTCGATTCCCTTTTCAGAAATAGTGACAACCTCCCGAGTGAACAGCACAAGCACACTCTTCAACAAATATCAACATGTTACTAGTGAGTAACACATAGCTGCTAAAACACTGAATCTGCCAGATATAACCCCAAATCTCATTTAAGTCAGCTCCTTAAATACTCTTCTGAGTTTATTTTTAATATGTTTTTCCTAAAGGTTTTTCTCCATGAATTAATTGTGACTGTTTCTTTAATACAATACTTTGCCAAAGAGTTGGAATAAATAGTTTTTGGACTGATATCTTTCAAAGGAAAAAAGATACTACTAGATATTAATAAAATGACGAGGGTTGAGTCTTGGGTAGATTTATACCATATATATATATGGCATCAGCTTCAAATGTTGATAAGAATATTTCCAACTTACATCATGACAGAACTAAAAGATTGGTATTTCCCCAACCTTATGATACTACTTAAGAGGAACCCAAAGGGCTGTTATCACACCTTTATTAGTTTCTATGCTAACCAATAATCTAAGTAGTCATGTTGATTTTCTTTGTAGTGAAAAAGGAGAGAAAGCAGAAGAGGATAAGAGAAGAAGAAGAAGAGACAGAAGAAGTGGATAAGAAGGAGAAAGATCTTGGGAATGGAAGAGAAAAAGGAAGAGAGAGGGAAAGGCAAAGGTAGAAAGAGTAAAGAAGATAATTCTAGAGCATGGTTATTTTATTCCATGTATCAGTCACTGAGTTGTACTTTACAGGTGTTTCTCTACTTGATAGCTATAAGGGAAACAGGAATAGTTACTTTAAAGTAGACAGATTATGAAATCAACAGAAATAAATCCCATCTTTAGTAACTTACTGTTGAACACAACACTCATCAAATGGTCTCAACCCTGACTGATTGTGAAAATTTTATCCTGTTCCTATAATATTGTAAAAGTTAATATAAATTTTGGAAGAAATACCGCTTTTACGGAAATCAATTTTTTTAAAAATAAAAGTTTCTTGAAATCAATTTCATCTTCAAGTATTTTCAATGAAGAATAGTATCTCTGAAGTCTAGTGAACTATATTCATTATTATTGTTGTTTTTTATTATTATTTTACTAAATCTCTTTTTGAGAAGATTGGAAAATGTAGAGAAGCACAGTGAAATTATTTTCATATTTCTTTCCCTCTTTAAGGTTGGAAATGTCATTTATATCAAGTCTTAGGATTCATTTCTGTTCTCAGTCCTTCCCCCAAAATCAGTTCAATATTCTCCCTTTTATTTCTCATGCTTTTATTTTGACTTTTATATATTGGCCATATATAAAAAAAAAAAAAACAATGCAGAATTTAAGGTAAGTTTCAAGGTTTTGACATTATTCTCAAGAATTTCATGGATCATAACAGGTACACAGACCTTGGTTTTGGTCCACGGAAAAAATGACTCAGTTTTGAAGAACACAAAAACAATACCATTTTCCATATCAACAAAGTTTATACATAAAAGGTTAAAAATCATATGCAGCATATGTCAGGAAGTTCTTAGGAAAGCTAGCACCATAGTAAAACAATTTACTGAGTCAAATTTCAATATTTTTTGTGAGTTTCTTCTTGCCATTTCTTTAAATACTTATGCAGCCACATTCAAAGACTCTTTTATTTATCATTAGAAAAAAGATGCCAGTTTGAGGACCTTAATTAATTAGTTGCAGTTATTTACAAAAGACACAACGTGTCTCTTTTTTTGTCTATATGAGTAGGATTATAACACAGTTTTGAAATTCTTGATCCTGCTTTAGTCAGGCAGATAGACTATATGACTTCTGTAGGCCCCTTCTAGAGCGATTCATGAAAATCTGTGAGTCCTGTTCTTGACTCTTTTTAGGATTAGCAGCCTACAAGATGTAACATAACACAAATCAGGTCCTCTGCCTTTCCCCAGCATTTCCCATTTTCATAGTGGCCTGTTAACAATACATCAGTTTTGTGAAACTGTCTCAGTGAAATCCACATTTCAGAAATGGAAAGCATTTCCAGCACAGTAGTGAAGAAAATAGGAAAAAAATATAGTAAGGGGTTAAATTTGAAATGGGAAAACAGTCTTTGTGTCATGCCAGCAGCTGTGAACAAAATTAATTTGCCTCTCAAATATAGCCCCTAGGGAAGATACCAGGAGTGTTGTGTGAAATAGAAGGTTGTAAATGTCCCAGAGACCTTATGCAATTTTAGGACTTGCTCAAAATCAGAAGTGAAAACTAAGTAGTGCTAAAAAGAGAATGAAACAATAAAATAAAAATGTTTTCACTCCCACTGTAGATTGTGTTTAGGAAGCAAAAATCAGACAAAACCAAGTATTCCTCCTCCTGTTTCAATTCTGATCTCAACTCTCTCCCGGCTTTTCTTCCATTCTCTACTCTCCTGTTAAACTTGGTTTGGTTTTTTGCTGTCTTTTACCTCCTCTACTTCAGCTGCTATCTCCTCATTTCTCTTTCTTCACTCTGCTTAATTCACCAAAGCAGTTGTGCCTGCTTGATCTGATTGACTTTAACAGGCTTTCTCAGAAGCTGTAAGTAAAGTCTGTGGTCTCTGTCCCCTTGTTCCTCTTTCAGCCACGTATTTTCTTATTAACTTTTAAACACTCCAAATCTCCAGGGCAGTGAACTCCCTTAACTCTTTCTGACACAGATGGGAGCTGAGGACAACTGACATTTCATAGGAGCTGCTCAGCATTTCACAGTATTGATACATAAATTCCTGATGGGTCAGATCCAAAGTCTCCTGAAGTCAATGGAAAAATCTCTCATTGACTCAAGCAGGCTTTGGATCAAACCCTATTTGTTTATCTGCCCTTCTGTGTTAACCTTTTATGTTTCTCATCTTTCCCTATCAATACCCCTTGCTAGAGGCAATCTTGGCAGGACTAAAAACATGGTGAAAATTAATAAGGTAACCACATTATTCAACACATCAAAAAAAAAAAAGTTTGCTTGAATTTACTTCAAATGAGCAAAAGTTTGAGAGCAGAGCAGCATTTAGATTATTAGATTTGGTATACTGGATTTTTTGCTTCTTTGGCCTTGTATTGAGAAATTAATTTTCGAAATTACATGTAACTGAAGAGGTTCAAAGTGATCCAAAAGAGAATGGTGGGAGGAAGAAGCTAGAAATGGGGGAAAAACCCAAGCAACACTCCCTCCTTTGTTGATTATATTATTTTAATTTTGGATTCTTTCTTTCCTTTTATAAAACACATAACTCAGTGTGCAGATTCTCTGCAGTTTATAAAGAAAACATGAGATATGCTGATGCATAAAATATTGGGCCCAACATCACAGTATGTGCAAAATTCCATACAAAATTCAGATGTGCAGTGAAATAAGAATTCCTTATTTCTCGTCTAGATTAAAATGGGTGCATAATTTATCTGGTGTAAAATATATGCAATGCTCTTTCTTAATAATTTATATAAAAAAAGATGTTTTGGCATTTGGCATCAAGGACAACTCTTGCAAAAGGCTGACAGGAAAACACATGCTGAAACCACCATCTCCTTTAAGCAAAGGACATCTTTTTTACTATCCCCCTTCCTCATTTTAATTAAACCGACACAACATAAACACAACCAACAAAATAAAAATTAAGTGGCTAGGCTTATCTAATAATTCATAAATTTCAAGACACTTCCTTGGCATTACATAGAGATGTATAAGCCTTAATATTTGAGCTATGTTATATGTGGATCTGCAATGGGAACAGAATCTAGAAATCTAAGAAGTTTTCTCATTATTTAGGCATATATTTAAATACACAAATAAAACAAATAGACAATGGGGAGAATAGCAATCTGTCCAAAGGTTACATAGGTCCTTAGATAACACAGTATCAAGCAAACATTTCATAGCATTGTACAGGATGATAAGATTTTACTCAGCTTGAGCATAGGTAATACTAACAATGTGTTGAGGTCTCTCAGAGAGTTTGTTTCTGAGCCCTAAACACACCTTGCCTATTAAAACACCCTGCACACACCTCATGATCACCACAGGGTCCATAAATAGTGGGTGGAGGGGACACTTCAAAATGGGATCTGATGTTTACAGAATCTGCAGGCAGAGAAAGAAAAACAAATTATTTTTCTGTAAGCAGACCAGGGGAGCATAGATAGAGCTGAGATTGTTTGAGAAATCAAACTGTTTGCAATTACTACAGAAATAGCAGTCAGGACTGGACATAGGCACAGTCTGATGGAAAGACAAAGCAGGTTTACGTCATCCCCCTTGTAATATATCAGGGAATGTAAGCCTCTACAAGCTACTGATAATGGGGGAGCTGGAGTGTTCTTAGCACTCTGTGGAAAATACACCCTTATTAATTAGTAAATCTTGGAGGAGAGTTGCAGTGGATTGACCTTGTCTGGATACTAGGAGTCTACCAAGCCTCTCTATCATTCCCACTTCCCAGCTGGACAGGGAAGAGACAATAAGATGGAAAACAACTCATAGGTTGAGATAAGGCAGTTTACTAAAGCAAAAGCAAAATAAAAAAAACAGGTTTATTCTCTACTTGCCACCAGCAGGTGATGTCTGGCACTTCCCAGGAAGTAGGACTTCAGCACATAGAGCTGTTGCTCCAGAAGTGAAACACTGTAAATAATATTTGCTTCTCCCTTCCTCCTCCTTCCTTTAGCTTTTATAGCTGAGCTGACATCATATGGGATGGAATATACCTCTGTTTAGTTTGGGTCAGATGGCCTACTTGTGTTCCTTTCCAGGATCTTGCCCTCAGCGGGGGAAGGAATGTTACAGTGCTGATGTTGTGCTCAGCAGTAGCCAAAACACTGGCATGTTATCAGCACCTTTCTACATACCAATGCAAAGCACAGCATTGTGAGGGCTGCTGTGGGGAAGATGAACCATCCCAGTTCCATCTCAGCCAGACCCAAGTCTGAGGATGGAGACTGTGGGTGAATTGCCCGCACCATTCTGTTCAACAATACAAGCCTTCTGTTTCGAGTAGGTAAACTGAAACAGCCACACAGAGAAAACACACTAGTGACACAAAAAAATCAGTGTGCTTTATTCCTGTGTGCAAGAATGTATAGAGGTACAGAAAACTTTAGTGTACAGCAAACAGATTGTCACCGCATGTCATGAACAACCTCTAAAGGTCTTCTGGTTTGGGTGAAATCCCACTAATAACAAGCTCCAGTCCTGTGTAACAGAACTTCTAATTAGATGGTGACAAAAGCAAGGAATTCACTGGCTTTGCAGTTGCCTTTCAGATCACTGTAGATTTCATGGATGGTACAACTTTTCATGTTGCAAAACCTTCTTCTATGGATTCCTAGCAATTCGGGGGAGGGGAGTCAGGGGGAATAGAAAAGTGTGACTAAAATCTCATTTCCTACTTTCTACCCAATGCAACACATTTCAGAGGGAGTAGAATTTCACTGCCTATGTTTAAACTCTTTTCAATTTTATATATAGACCTCAAACTTCTATCTACTCAGCTGTTTACCAAATAAATATAAATACATTTCCTTGCTGGAGCTTTCAGAGTTTCCACTCTTGTGCATAATCTTTGTGTATATCCTTCTTTAAATCAGTACAACTTCAGTACATATCATACAGATGTATATATGTCAGGACTGAAGGGAATAAACACAATTTGTGCTTTTTGATATATTTTTTCCTTAACATTTTTATAGTTTATGACATTATTATAAGTCAGTATTGTCCATCAAAGATGACAACAATAAAAAAAGGAAACATATATGAAATTGCTTTATCCTAAAGAAGAGAGAAGGGGAAGGAGGGAAAGAAGAAAGGAAGAAAGGAAGGAAGGAAGGAAGGAAGGAAGGAAGGAAGGAAGGAAGGAAGGAAGGAAGGAAAAGAAACAATTCTTGAAACTGTGATTGAAATAGACATAAGGTAAAATTATTTTCTAGATAAAATATATAATCCGTAAGTGCAACAAATCTATTCAGTCTTCTCACATTAACTAAGAATGAATAAATGCTTTTAGATACTGACTGGACTTAGATTTCAGTATCATAAGAGAGGACCTGTAATTTACACAGCCTCCATTTGTCTTGGGTCTATCTACAGATTTGATTGCAAGGAAGAAACTCTTACAGCTGGATTTCTTTAACACAGGTGATCCTTTTTTACCCATTGCTTAACAACTTTACTTATGGACTATTCTCAAATAGTTTTCACAAAAGTTTTTTTCAAATTTCATGACAGTACTTTTCCAGATCAATGAGTTTTATAAATGAGAGGAGATTTTATCCTTCCTATAAAAATCATATCTCACGAGAATTTTTTTTTAAATTGTTTGTTCACCTTTTTGATATAAGGCTTAAAATTTCAGATGAAAAGTTATATCCCTGTATGACCTGAAAGATTTGCTCCACCGTCTCAAGTAATTGGTTGATTTGGGCAGCACACTGGCTTGTGGTATCTTATATTCACAGTAGAATAATTTCTTAGCCTTGAAGTCCATCAGTATCAGGTACAGTTGTGCTGAAGTTCAGAATTCAGTACACCATTTCCAAACCATCACCCGGTATGCCTCCTGTTATGAATCATCAGAACAGTTAAAACTAAAATTACCTTCCCTCTCCCACTCTTCAAATCAGAGTGATCAGTGATTATGGGTAGTTTCCTGCCGTAGAGACATTATCAACATCTCTGCACACTGAAAATGATAACTAGAGCCTTTTGCTCAATCTGTGCATAATTTTTCTCAGCTGGTACTTAAGATCCTGGGGCATAAATAGTGAGCTTGCTTCCATGCTAATGTATAGCAAAAGTAGTTGTTAACAGTTCAAACAGACACACATACTGTGGCCTGAGGCTCTGCAAAGCTGGGAGGTTGTTATTAAACTTTGTTGAAGTGGGTGTATTGGGTTTGCATGGACATGTTTTGGTAGAAGGGGGGCTACAGGGGTTGGCTTCTGTGAGAATATGTCAGAAGCTTCCCCGTGTCTGATGGAGCCAGTGCTAGCCGGCTCCAAGGCTGAGAACATTAGCAACAGTGGTAGCAACTCTGGGACAATATATTTAAGAAGGAAAAAGCAAGTTATTGCAGATGCAAATTGTGGCCAGAGAAGATAGAATTGCTGGGTTAGTGGTTGGACTTAATGATCTTACAGGTATTTTCCAAGCTTAATAATTCTACTGTTTCTCTTTTGCTATTGTTCATTAATTTCTTTTCAACTATTTTACTGATCTGTACTGTGATAACCTTATGGGAAGAGGTGCTGCTTTTTAGTATACAGTGGATGTCAGTGTCAAGCTTACCTGAACCAGGACAGTGAGTACAGTCAGTAGATGTACTCACTGGTTGACTGTAGAACATTCCTGGAAACAGGCAGCAGAAGACTGATGTCAGGACTTCTGTCCCAATGCTTTTAGGATGGCTGGCAGAACTAGTAGACACTACAAGACAGGTGTTAACATATATCTTTACACATTACCAGTGTTGATTTACTATTATTGACTTTCTTGAATTTTCTTGATATCCTCTTGTAATACTAGACTTCTAGTCTTCTTTTTCTTCAGAAACCCTCCCTTTTTTAATATTTTTTTCTTTTTTGTTTGTTTGTTTGTTTTTTGTTTTAGGAGCAGAACACTGATTTTAAGGAACAAGCATTACCTTCAGGAGATGTGAGGCAGCTTCCTGGGCATAACCTTCAAAATGAATATTCACACTCCAATTATTTCTTAAGCTGTCAACGGGGACTCCACAATATTTTTGTGTAGCTTTTTTATTTTTCCTCTTTGAAACACATAAGAATAATGAAACAAGAATTTAGTAAAATATTTTCCAACTGAATTGAATGTGTAACAGACAAGTAAACTATTATTTTATTGTTATTAAAATGTTGTTCCTCTGCCTAACACATTCTACTGATGAATCCAAACTCCCTTGAGTCCATACTGGTGCCTAGGAGACCTTCATACACACATTTGTGTGTATAGCACAGGTTTTTTTGATCATTGGATTTTACTGGTAGAGAGTGGTAAAAATTGGATATTGCAAAAGTGGGGGTAGTTATGATAGGAATTGCAACAGCAGAACAAAATCAAAACTGTGTTTTTGTAAATCTAGTCTCAGAGTGTAGGACTGGAGTTTAAGCAAGAAATCATTTAGTGGTTTGGGGAAATCAGTAAAGAACACAGATCATTACATCACAGCATCTTCAGAAGCTCTACTCTGTATATATGCCAAAAAGATTTTAAATTTTCACACTTTTCTAAAACATAACAGTTTATTGTGGTAACACAGTGAATTGACCACAGTAAAACATTATACTAAAATTTTGTATATATTTGTATAATTTTGTATATATTTGTATAATCTGAAACACTAGTCTTTACCTCATGTGTTGTAACAGTTAACCCTATATTTCAAAGAAAGCAAAGATAGAACTTTCAGTATTCCCACTTTAAAAATAAGAAAAACAAAACACAGAAAAAAACCAAAAGTTCAGAAACCCAGAAACAAGTTATGGGGAAAGATCAAAATAATTGGGGTCATTTTGTGAGAGTAGAGAAGACTGCCAAAGAAATTTATAACATCTTTCAAATACTCAAATGACTGCTAAAAATGGGACGTTTATGTTCCAAGTCCATAATTCTTAGGACAAATTAATGGATTTAAACTGCATGGAGAAGGAGTCAGGTTGGATTCAAGGAAAATTTGCCCAGAATTTCTGGAGGTTGAAGCAATACGGAATAGTCTGGCTGAAAGATTTCTGGAGTAGCCACCACCAGAGGACCTCAACATCATATGTCTTAGAAATTACATTAGTAGAGTTGAACTCTGGGACACAAGATAGAATTGAGCAACTGAGTTGCTTCTATTTATGAGCCTTGATTTTGTGCACATTTTAATTCTTTCTGTAAATTTTCTGTGTAAAATTGATGCGTTTCTGCATAATATCTCTTTTTTGTTTGTTTTGTTTTTGCTTTTTTGTGTAACAGTGCTGTAGGGACCAATGCAGGTTTCATTTGCTGCTAGTTTACAGGGTGTCCCTGAAACTCAGTCACTGAAATCAATGAACTCTTTTGCCTACAGATTTCACCTATAGATCTGTCTTTCATGATGAGACTTCTTCATCAACTTAGACAGAAATAATGGCATTATTTGATTTTTGACAGAAATTACTGTCTACTAGCTTTTTCATACTGTATTGGTTGTTTTTAGGATGACATCTAGGACTGATGGTGGAGTTCTTTTTTTTTTTTTTTCCCCACAGTTTTTCAGATGGACTTCTTCACATATTTATGGTGTTTGACTAATACCCACCTTCTAAGACAAAAGAAAAGAAGCAAACACTCAAAACTCCCACTTTTTTCCTAACAGCTTCTCTAGCATTTGGTTCTAGAAACTTGTCTAGATTTTTCACTTACTCCTAATAAATTTGCTCTTCCAAATGGTCTTCTGCTATTTTTCCATACATGATAATTTCATGAATAAAAATTATAAACCTAAACATTACACTGATTTCTGCCTTTTTATGTTCACAGGAGAAACTCATCCTTTCCTGCTGCGGTTCGTTTTTCAGGAAATACAAATCTATCTCTGGCTTGAGACACAGTTTCAAAATACAATTTCTGATTTATTTTTACTTAAGGTTTTCATCCTCCTGCTTCCTTTGTTTGCTCATGACTATAAATTAATCAAAGTTGAAACTTTGTAATTACAACATAAACTATATGTTCCCTTTATTTCATATTTTTTTCAGAACCAATTGCTTACTTACTTAACTAGATTAGCCTAAAAATGTCAAAAAAAAGGTTATTAAAAAGGAAAAAGAAAAAGAAGGGAAAAGTCATTTCTATCAAACACACATATAAATAAACACATAAATCATTAAATTTACATTTTCTTGGGTTTTTTTCAGTCTTTCACTTCCTAATTTTCCTCCAATTCAGAAAAAGAAACTGCATTTTTAAATGCTTTTATGGGTTTTTTTGATGAATAATTTCAGAACTGAAAAATAAAATGCATGAGGAAAGACCTTTCAGGACCCATTTTCAACTTAAATATTTTTCACTACAGTAGACAAATAAACATACAGATAAACAATACAAACAAATGACCTTCAAAGTTACCCTACAGAATCCACAATCTCATGAGTAAATATTTGTTTTCTTGGGGAACAAAAGGTTATTTAACCCAACTTTCATGCTCTGTCTCTCATCTGTAAAGATTTTCTGTCTTTACATCGTACTATTACACACATTTATGTAATATTATGTATTACATAAAATATAATTATGCAATATTGTATACATAATTACAATAGCTGTATACATAATTACAATAACTATGTAGTATAATATTACATATTTTTACATCAATAACACTTTTGTGGTTTTCAGTCTTCTAAAAGGGGTCTGTAGTCACAAACAATTGGTCAAAAGCAACGTTCTCCCTGAACTTTTCTGTTGTTCACTTCTGCCTCTCCTGATGATTTTCATTTGACTTTTTATAACTTTGACTGTTAGGATACGAAGTTGAGTTTTTGAAGTTGGTGAGGTGATTAATTTAACTTAATTTTCAGTCTCTGTATTGAGCAGATACTTTTGGCTTGGACAACTTAGGCTCCACTTAGTCAGCAAAGAAAAATAGCTCTCCAAAGACAACATTCTCACAGATTTAGAAGCATCATGTTTAGTCAGAGGCATTCCATATTCCCAAGTGCCACATCCACACACCTTTTGAACACTAAGAACCACAAAACATGCTGAGTTGGAAGTGACCCATGAGGATCACTGAGCTCATCTTGTGGATGGATACAGGACACCCCGTGAGTCACACCATGGGCCTGAGAGCATTGTCCAAATGCTTCTTGACCTCTGTTAGGCTTGGTTCTCTGACCACTTCCCCAGGGAGCCTGTTCCAGTGCCCAGCCACGCTCTGTGTGAAGCACCTTTTCCTGATATCAAATCTAAACCTCTCCTGACTCAGCTTCAGGCCACTCCATCAGGTCCTGTCACTGGCCATGAGAATGAAGAGATTGGTACTTGTCCCACAGCTTCTCCTTGTGAAGATGTTGAAGACGTGTAAGAAACGGAAGGAAACGAGTGCTGGCTCAAACAAAGCGGGGGATGGTGGGCAGGGCAAGTTGTGCATAGGTGGGGCACTGCACTGCCTTACAACCTGCCCCTGGAGGCTCTAGGCCAGCCCCAGAATGGCTATCAAGTCACTGGCACACTGGAAGTCCCACGTGGGGGAGAGGACCCCAGGAGACCAGAGCAGATAAGAGCAATTGCACAGGTATACACATGCTCACAACTCTTTTGAACTTTATAGCAGCTGAGAGTGCACTGGGTTCAAGCAGTGACTATTGATCTTTCTCTGTCCCTTTCTATTCTCTCTCTTTTCTTCTCACTCTCTTCTCCTAACTTTGTCATCTCAAAATATAGGTATTTAAAGTTGGGTGGGTTAGATTTTTTTTTTTTTTTTGTGAAAGTGCTTAATTTTGACTGAATGTTGCTTTAAAATATGTCAAGTACCTTATTCTACCTTGATACTCTAAAGTTTGCAAGTAAAAGTTTCTTAAACAACCTCCTGAGAACTTTTTTGTGATATCCACTGCACCACCTCAGCACTTCAAAGTACTTAAACCCTCTTTTAAAAAATTTACCTGGTGAGTCCGTGTCTTTACAGACCACGCTGAGGTCTCTTCTCAGTCTCCTCTTCTCCAGGATGAACAGATCAAGTGCCCTCAGCCGCTTCTCACATGGCTTTCCCTATAGACCCTTTACCATCCTCGTGTCCCTCCTTTGGACACTCTCTAATGCCTTAATGTCTTTTTTATATTGTGGTGCCCAAAACTGCCACAGTATTCCGGGTGAGGCCACTCCAGTGCAGAGCAGAGTGCTGTGCAGGGGTGTGATTCCAACACTTCTCCGGGAAACCTGTTCCAATGCTTGGCCACCTACTCAGTGAAGACATTCTTCCTAATATCCAATCTAAAGCTCCCTGGCACAATTCAAGGCTGTTTTCTCTTGTCGTGTCACTTGTTACCTGGGAGAAGGGACCAAGCCCCACTTGGCCACGACCTCTGTTCCGTCAGTTGTAGACAGTAAGAAGGTCCCCTTGAGCACCCTTTTCTCTGACACTTCAGGAAATTTCAGTGACACTTCAAGGAGAATGTTGCACCCAGTGAAAATGATATGAGAATTTTTCATTTGACTGTTGTTCAATTTAGAATGTGTATACATTATAAAACAAACCAACCAGAGGTCTCACTACCAAATATATCTTTGCTGAATGGGGAATAGTTTATATTCTGCACTGTTGATATACTGAATAACTGTTACCTGCTTATGATCTCTACCCAATTTTCTGTTCAAGTCCTTCAAAATTTGTCTCTGAGCTCTAAACTTCGTAGTTATAGCAGTGAATCCTCTAAATGTTTTCCTTAAAAAAGTGTCTCATGCAAGAGAACAGGTAAAATAATACCTAATTGTACTTTTGCATGGTAACAATGGATTTTTCTTTTATTGGCTTTTCTTTTTTCTTTTTTCCTTTGATGATCTTCCTGAAGTTGGACTTGTTTAACATTAACCACATTAACACTATATATCTAATCTGTGTTTGCATTGTTGACTGCCATGATAGTCTATGGAAAGCAAAGCACTTCCAAAGAGTGATTTATCTGCATATAGACAGATATCTGAGAAGACTATTGAGGTGAATTTCCCTCTCCTGTAGATGGCTAAAGTTTACTACAGATATACACTAATAAAATGAAAGGGGAAATACAGTCCAAGGGTAAAAAAGTATTTAAGAAGGGTGAGATTACCTGGGAGTG